TGGTCAAAGAGGCTGAATGGGCAGCCCACAGTCATGCTGTGGTAATCATGGAGCCAGGACCACGGCCCAGATGTCTCAGTCTCAGAATTGGGATCTTTCTTGCCTGGTGCCTGTCACTGCAGGCTCCTCCCTCTTCCAAGGAGGGGTATTCTATTTCCTTTGTTGTGTTACCACCAACTAAAAGTCTCTTCCACTCCGCCACATCCCTCCTCCTTTCAATCTCCTCCTCCTCCTCCTCCTCCTCCTCCTCCTCCTCTACTCTGCAAGTAGCAATCCTGGTTTTCAATTTCCTCAAAAATCTCAGTATATTAGGGTCATTTCCCTAATATGCCACTGAGCTTGTTGACTGAAATTGAAGGATGATTGAATTTCTAGCTTTCTAACTAGTTCCTTATCTGCTTCACACTAAAGTAATTTTTGATAACTCCACTGCACTCTAATTTTCCAAATGTATTTTTTAAATTTCTTTTGCTAAAGGCAGATTTTAAATGAATCTAATAACATAACCATTCCAGAGACATTGTTAATTTGGTATTTCCCTTCCCTGGTGATAGGCTCATTTTTCCTTCATTCTTCCTTTTCCTAGACTTCAAAGACAGCATTTGAAAAGCTCTTCTTATTCTCTCTGGTACCTCCATGGCCTTGGACAGTGAGGTTTAGTAGTGAAAGCACCAGGCCTGGAACCAGGAGACCAGAAATGCAGTGCCAGCAGGTCTTCGGCCAGCATTGAGGTTCTGGGCAAGTTATTGACCCTTTCTGGGGCTCAGCCTCCTCGTCTGGTGAAATTAAGGGGTTGAATTCAACATCTGACTTCTAAAGTTTTTCAATTTGTCTAGGTGTCTAGATCAGTCATGGGATAGTCAGGAGACAGAAATCATACCAGTTATTTGAAAAGAGAGATTTTAATGTAAAAATTATTAACAGGGTGGGTTGAAATGCTTTTGAAAAGTATCACTGAGGTAGTACATGCAGGGAGAAGCTGCCTCCCCTAGGGCTTGGAGAATAAAGGAAAGAGATTGGAATGATTATAACTTAGAATCTTGAAAAGGGGTTCCATGAAGCTGCAACTCAGCTCTCTGAAGACAGGCCCTGGCTGGCAGTTGCTGGTGTTGGAGAGGAGAATGAAGTGCAGTGTGGCTTGTGCTAATTGGGTGCAGCTGCTGTCTGGAAAGGAATTGCGGCAGTCAGGGTGAAACTACAGGAACAGAAAGGACAGGTCGTTTCTTCCTTCCCCAGCCTTGAAGCCTCCCTCTAGCGCCCTCTGTTGGCAGAGCCTAGCAGAGAGTGGCTGGGATTTGTGGACCAAGTAAGGTCCAGAAGGGTGGCTTTCGAGCTGAGAGACAATAACTTCATAGCTGCACAGTGTTCATTGCTAAGATTGCAAACTGGTAGGCTAGAGGCCACTTTTTTGTTAATGAGATCTTTATTATTGTTATTTGATTTTTTTTAAATTGATTTATCATAGTTGTACCTATTTTGGAGCACCTGTGATATTTTGATCCATGTGTACAATGTCATAAAGATGCCTTGTATGGCCTTAAGTAGTCTAATCAAACATTTGTGTCTGAGTTTATGTTTTTAATCTGAATATCTTCTTCCTGGGAAATCCACAGTACTTCATCTTTCATTATTTACATTTTAAAAAAATTAATGTAAAATTAATGAATGGGAAGGCAACTTGGAGATCATCTCTAGTTCAGTAATCAGTTTATAAATGAGGTGATTAATACCCTCAGAAAGTGAGAGGTTTTGCTCCCAAATTGTACAACTAGTGAATGAGATCTTTGGGTTCTAAGGCCTGGATTCTCATCACTGTTTACTGTTTACAGGAGGACAGATGTGCTCTAGCCTCTTGCTACTCAAAATGTGGTCCCCAGACCAGCAGCACTGGCCTCAGCTGGCAGCTTGTTAGAGATGCAGAATCTCAGGGCCCGTTCTCGGGCCTGCTGTATCAGAATATGATTTTGACAAGATCCCCAGGTGATTTATGTGCACAGTAAAGTTTGAGAAGTGCTGAAGATAGCTTTATTGAAGTAAAAGAAAAAACAGACTTTTATTGGATGCTAGTGCTTTTCTCTAGGGTGGAATCAGGGTATGGGCTATAGAGACTAGCTCTCAGCAAATCTCTGGACCACTCCTCTAAGTCTCTTTTCGCTCTCCCTGCTTTCAATTTATGGGCCCATACACATACATGCAAACACCCATGTGCACACACACAATCACACATGCATGCATCCATACATCTACATTTTCACACACACACACACACACGTTTATGATCTGGCTTCTGTCCTACCCTCTAGCCTGAACCCTCATCAGGTTCCCCTACATGAACTATGCTGTACTCATGCTAGGCCACTTACAAGAAGTTGCCCAAACATATCAGACTTTCTTTTTGCCTCAGTCACCAAATGGAAATCAGACTAAATTCTGTTTGTCTTTCAAGAACAGCTCAACGTCTTTCTCTTGGAAGCCTTCCCACATTGAGTGAATTATATCCAAGGTTTGCTCTTCTTCTGGGTTTTAATAATACCTGACGGATATCTTTATTGGGCACCTTTTTTCTCACTCAGAGATAATCTTACATTTTATTGTTTATCTCCTTGAAAGGATGGAACCATTCCTCACTTGGCAAGCAATACTGGAGGTGAGCAGATGAAGAAAGAATGGACTAACGTAGAGCGAAGGAATCTAACCAACGCTATCTATAAAGAGCAGCAAAGTGTAATAGTTAAAGCAACGAGCTGGTTTTTTGAAAAGATAAGCAAAACTGACAAACTTTTAGCTAGACTAAGGAAAAAGAAGGCTCAAATAAAATCAGAAATGAAAGAGAAGACATTACAACTGATACCACAGAAATATGAAGGATCACAGATACTATTATGAAAAGTTACACACAACAAGTTGTGTAATCTGGAAGAAATGCATACATACCTAGAAACATGCAATCCACTAAGACTCAGTTGTGAAGAAATAGAAAATCTTAACAAACCAGTAATGACTAAAGAGATTGAATTAGTAACCAAAAACCTCTCAACAAAGAAAAGCCTAGGACCTGCTGGCTTAACTGTTGAATTCTACCAAACATTTAAAGAATAATTAATGCCAACCTTTCTCAAACTCTTCCAGAACATTGAAGGAGAAGGAATATTACAAACTCATTTTACAAGTCCAGCATTACTCTGATACCAAAGCCAGAGAAGAACACTACAAGGAAAGAAAATTACAGGTCAATATTCCTGATGGACACAGATGCAATAATCTTCTACAAAATACTAGCAAATTAAATTCAGCAGCACATTAAAAGGATCATACACCACGATCAAGTGAGATTTGTGCCTGGCATGAACAGATGTTTAAACATGTGCAAATCAATAAAAGTGATATACCATATTAACATAATAATGGATAAAAATCATATGATCATCTTAATAGATGCAGAAAAAGCATTTGACAAAACTTCAGCATCTTTTCATGATAAAAATTCTCAACAAATTAGGTATAGAAGGCCATGTATGACAAGCTCACAACTGACAATCATAATCAATAATGAAAAGCTGAAAGCTTTCCCCCTAATATCAGCAAGAAGACAAGAATGCTCACTCTTGCCACTTCTATTCAACACAGAGCAATTAGGCAAGAAAAAGAAATAAAAGGCATCCAAATCAGAAATGAAGAAGTAAAATGGTTTCTGCAGATGGCATCTTATACACAGAAAACCCTAAAGATGCCACCAAAAAATTGTTAGAACTAATAAACAAATTCAGTAAAGTTGCAAAATAAGAAACCAACATAAAAAATAGTAGTGTTTCTATATACTAACAATGAAGTATCTGAAAACGAAATCTAAGAAACAATCTCATTTACGATAACATTAAAAAGTACTTAGGAATGAATTTAACCAAAGAAATGAAAGGTCTTTATACTGAAAACTGTAAGACATTGACGACGAAATAGAAGAAGACACAAATAGATGGAAAGATATCCCATGTTTATGAATAGAAAGAATTAATATTGTTAAAGTATCTATATTGCCCAAAGTAATCTACGGATTCAATGCAGTCCCTATCAAACTTCCAATGGCATTTTTCATAGAAATAGAAAAAAAAAATCCTAAAATTCATATAGAACCACAAAAGATTTGGATAGGGAAAGCAGTCTTGAGCTAAAGGAGCAAAGTTGATGGCATCACACTACTTGCTTTCAAATATACTACAAAATTATAGTGATTTTAAAAAAATGGTACTGGCATAAACACAGACATATAGACCAATGGAACAGCATAGAGAGCTTAGAAATAAATTCACACATTTATGGTCAATTGATTTACAACAAAAGTGACAAGAACACACAATAGGGGAAAAACAGTCTCTTCAATAAGTTGCATTGGGAAAACTGGATTTTACATGCAGAAGAGTGAAACTGGACCCTTATCTCACACCATATACAAATATGCTACATTTCCTTAAGCCTAGACATTGGTTGTAGCTTGAAGAAAGGTCCTTCTTGGGTGGTAATAACATAGCTGGCGTTGCTTTCAATTGCTGTTTTTCACTTCTACCATGTTCTTCCTTCCTAACATTTCCCATATCCACTTTGCCACACTTTACCCTGGAAATTCTCTCCTTAAACATAATCTACCAGTTGAGGGCTTTTGCAACACAAACATTTTCCTTGCTTAAAAAATTACAGCATTTCCCTTGTCTGCAGATGATGCACCTAAATGGGTGGTCTTACAGCTATCTCAGTTTTGGTTGATATGCGTTAGTCTGTGTACATGTGTATAAACCTGGTAAGGCCATTTTTAAGATAACATTTGTAAAAAGTTGTATTTGTATAGTACTTCCAATTTGCCACAAATATCACATTCCACCATTTTGTGTCTATGACACAGAAATTCTAGGATAAGTAAAAATGAACACTGTATTTTATAAACATTATATAGAATCTAATCTTTTGTCTTTTCTCTCTATTCTCGCCCCTCCTTCCCCTCATTGCAGGGATGATAGTCTACTTGGGAATGATGGCGGGGGCCTTCATCCTGGGAGGCCTGGCTGATAAGCTGGGAAGGAAGCGAGTCCTCAGCATGTCTCTGGCCGTCAATGCCTCCTTCGCCTCCCTCTCTTCCTTCGTGCAGGGATATGGAGCCTTCCTTTTCTGCCGACTCATCTCAGGCATCGGGTATGTTCTTAGGGAGCTGGAGCTGGACCCTCCCAGACCAATGGCCCATCCATTCTGGTACTCTAGCTCTGAGAGATAACTCCAGAAACCCTTGGACTGATTGAGTTTGTGTTTGACTTTCAGGATACCATATTAAAGTTGAACCTTAGAAAGAGTTAGGGTTAGGATTAGCCTCTGAAGTCAGCATGCAGTGTCAGAATAATCCAAGACTGCTTCCCACATGTAGAGAGGAACTACCTGGCTGGTCCCTCAAATTAACTGGGTCATTTCACCACAGAGTCTAAGGTGGGGTATAGGCAACTTGGTTTCTGCTGTGACCATTTTTAGTGTATGACTTGATTCTTTCTCTCTGGACTTTTCCCTCTGCAGTATTGGGGGTGCTCTGCCAATTGTTTTTGCCTATTTTTCTGAATTCTTGTCTCGGGAGAAGCGAGGAGAACACCTCAGTTGGCTGGGCATCTTCTGGATGACTGGGGGCCTCTACGCATCTGCCATGGCCTGGAGCATCATTCCACACTATGGTGAGCCATGGCTCAAAACAGCCTAGGGGCCCCTGTTTCTATGGCTCCTGCACCCAAACAATAGTTCCTATCCTCAGCCTTATTTCATGTACTCACGCACAGTTCCCATATGTGACCTTGATCTTTCTTAACAACTTCTAACATTGCAGACACATTGTTAATTTCAATTCACATGTCTTTTTTGAAAAATATATCCTGTCCTCCCTCTCTTCCTCCTTCCTTCCTTTCCTTCATTCTTCCCTGTCTCCTTCCCTCTCTCCTTTTCTTGTTTCCTTACTTTTATTTGAAATAATTTCAACTTTCATCTCCTCCCCCTGAGCAAGTTAGGCTTTGGTAACCTCATTTTATAGATAACAGGTAAGTGACAAAAGCCAAGAGAAGTTGGTGACTCGCTCAAGCCCATGTCCCTGGCATGTGGTGGAGTAGGGGCTGGAGTCCTGATGTCCCCTCAGGTGCGGTAGGCTTGTACTCTTTCTACCCTAGTGCCTGCTGTCACTCTTGTTTGACTGTGGAAGTGCAGCAGCCCTTATAGACAAGGTCATGGTTTCAGCCGGGACAATTTTATTTTCCTGGATAATTGTAAGCACTGTATTCTCTGGACAGACACATGGAAACATCAACTTTTACTACTGGTTTCATCAAGAGCAAAGTAGGGAGAAGGCAGCAATTTTGACTTTGATTCTGCTTTTGGAGTATACTGAGTAATACTCTCATCATCATTCAAAATCATTTTTGGTAAATCACTGATTATGAGTATAGGTTTAGCAGTGATTTAGAATCCTCAGACCCCGAGGGGGTAGCAGACACTTGCCCCTGAAGCTGACCGACACTTTACCACCTATTTATTGCCTTGTTTTAAATATGACCCTCTCTGCTGTGCTTTCTGAGCTAATGGAGGCTCACCGAGGCTCCATGTATACCTTTTTAAGAACAAGCTTTGGTTTAGACAGTACCTACTATATTAGTTAAGCTGTTACTGGGTACATTACCCTGACAAACTGATAAACCCTGAAATCTCAGTGTTTTAACACAGTGAAAGCTTCTCCCTTATGCGAGGTCCGGCTGGCATTTCTGATCTGCAGGTGGCTCCACTCCATCAATAATTCTGGAGTTTAGACTCCTTCCATTGTGTCATTCTGTCATCTTCAACACACAGTTTACAAGGTCTCTGGTTTGGGGAAAGAGATTGGGCAGTTGTAGACTGGCTAAAGGCCAGGAAGTAGAGCACACTCACCATCTCTGCTCATATTCCAGTGGCCCCTGATCTGTAACATGCCCACACCCTCCTGCAAGGGACACTGGGTAACAATCTAGCTGTGTGCCCACAAAGTAGAGGAAGTGGTTTTGGGAAGACCATGTTGTCTTTGCCATATCTAGCACTAGAAAATTCACTGGATTTTATATCAGAAACAGGATAGATATGAACAGGAATAGTGAAATAAAGAGTTGAAATATATCAGAAACAGGATAAATATGAACAGGAATAGTGAAATAAAGAATAGTGAAATAAAGGAATAGTAAAATAAACCACTATACACCAGGGGATTCAGGTCCAGTCAATTCTGTCACTCTAGTTCTCCATAATTTTAGATACAAAATTGTATTGCTGCTACTATCAGGTTCTGCAGTTTATCCCTCACTCAAATGCACACTTTAATTGCCCATGTACTATGCTGTTGATTATATGGTTTTGAGGCATTGCTTTTTTTTCCCTTTTTTTCCTCACAATTCTTGATATAATATCATTTTCCCTGTTAGTTGATCCAAATGTTTGAATACTAAGGGATTATTGTCACTTTTTTTTTTTTCTGAGACAGAGTGTCGCTCTGTCACCCAGCCTGGAGTGCAGTGGCATGATCTCAGTTCACTGCAACCTCTGCCTCCCAGGTTCAAGCAATATTCGTGTCTCAGTCACCCAAGTAGCTGGGATTACAGGTGTGAGCCACCACACCCAGCTAATTTTTGTATTTTTAGTTGAGTCGGGGTTTTACCATGTTGGCCAGGCTGGTCTCCAACGCCCGACCTCAAGTGATCCACCCGCCTCAGCCTCCCAACGTGCTGGGATTACAGGTGTGAGCCATAGTGCCCGGCCTATTTTCACATTTAAATGAAGTGATTGAAAACGCTTTTATGGAGGGAAGCAACTTACATCTGAATAAAAGCTGAATCCAAATAGTGGTGCTGTGTGATATGGGACAAGTCAATCCATCTTTTCAGCCTGGGTTCCCTCACCTGTAAAATGGAGGGGAGAAAGGACACAAAAAGAATCAGCTGTAGATATACCTGCCAGCCCGAACCTTTGGCAATTCTTGGGGTACACAGAGGAATTAATGTTGAGAAAAATTCCAGGATAATTCTAGTACTCAGGCTAACTTCCCTCCTGGAAGCATTAGCAATACCAGGCTTTCTATTTGCAGACTACTTGTTTCATGGGGAAAGCCCACCCTCACACTCGACCAATGAGAAAGGGTCTTTGATTTCCCTCTGATTGGATCAGCCTTGGTCATGTGTCCACCACAGCCAACCACTATACACCAGGGGGTGCAGGTCCAGAAGGGTTTAGATCCACTTCTGTCCCCATCCCTGGAGCTAGGGATAGGGTCAGTCCCACCGAAACCACAGGTGTGCAACGCAGTGGTGAAGAAAAGGTAGGAGGATGTTGTGAGGGAAGCTAGCAACCCACAATAGTCACTACAAACTGCATCTTTTTTTCACTTCACAAACACACACACTTACGCAAAGGCACACACTACTGTGTCAGTGTCTGATTTCTAGGAAAGCAATAAAAGAATTCAGGTTTGGGACATGTTGACCAACATAGATGGGATATCCATGGCAGAGGGGCCCCGTGGTAACTGTCTAACCACTGCAGGCTGACAGCATTGCTTGTGGTTAAATACTTTACCCCAAATGAGATTATTGTTCTAAGTGAAGTAACTCAGGAATGGAAAACCAAACGTTGTAAGTTCTCACTCATACGTAGGAGCTAAGCTATGAGGATGCAAAGGCGTAAGAATGACACAATGGACTTTGGGGACTTGGGGAAAGGGTGGGAAGGGGGTGAGGTATAAAAGACTACAAATTGTGTGCAGTGTATACTGCTTGGGTGATGGGTGCACCAAAATCTCACAAATCACCACTAAAGAACTTACTCATGTAACCAAACACTACCTCTTCCCCAATAACCTGTGGAAATAAAAAATTAAAAAAATTATTTTACCCCAAATGGACAGGACATTTCCCTATGTGTATGCCTGTATGGTATCTGTGACTTTTATACTCCATTTTAAAATAGAAGCCTCCTGGATGATAGGCTTAATTGAAACAGCCGTTCACTTGTGGGAAATCCATCCTAGAAATATGGTAGGCTAGAATCACAGTGTAACAAGAGCCATTATTTACCTTAAGCCTCGGATGTTTTGTCCACAGTGAACCAGACATTTGATGGTATTTTCCAATGTGCCTAATGCATTAATCCTCTAACAAATGCAAGTGTAACTTTAGAGAAGAGACTGATATTTGTGTGTACAGCTTGTGTAGTCTGTTTAATTGATTTTGCAAAACTGAAGTAAGGGAAAGTCTTGGCACCAGGAATTTGAGTGACTGGCTCATTGAGAAAGAAAATTACAAAGCTCAGAATGTTTTCCTGTGAACTCATGGGTAAAGCTCAGAAAAAAATGGATATATTATGAAAGATTAATTCCCATTGTAGTCAGCATTACCAGCTGTTTGTGAAATCCTGACAGAGAAAAGTAGGGCAAGCTAGAAGATCAGCAAACAGAACAATCTCTTCCTCCAAATTAATATTGTTCCAAATATTTGGAAGCAGTTTGCCATTTAATTTTATTTAATTTAAGGCCCTGAAGATGTGCCTAATGAATGTGATAAATGCGGATTACTGAAATCACCATAAAAGTCAGAGAGGCGTGAAGGAATAATGGATTTTGTATAATTTGTGCATATTATAATAAAGAAAAAGATCTTTTTGAAGCAGAATACTTTATAAACATAACTGCTTCTGCCCCTCTTTCTTGGTTATCCATCTGAGTTTGACTGCTGTGTGGTTTTGATCACCTTTACTTCTAATGATGCCAGAATAGTTTTTGCACATGAGCTGAGAATGTGTAAATATTGCTATGGTTTTATCTCCCTCTTTCTAGTGTTACTCCCAGGAGAAAGAAAAGGTTTTTAAATTAAAATTAAAGTGAACGAACAAGCCTCAGTGAGATGATAAGAGACCAAGCTGTGCAAAAAGAGATTCGATTCTGATTGAGTGTATTGGATGAGGTGTGTGTTCAGTTGCTGTGGCCAAAGGTGTCCAAGGGACCACAGTCCCACATTTCCAAACCTGGATTCCCTCTACCTAGTCTTTTAATTGTACAAATAGAGTAGAAAATGTCTGCAGGAACAGCAGATAATTGGTTAAGAGTCTGCTGCGTGTAGAACAAGTTGAACCACAACAGAGTAATAAAAATTCAAGGCAAGCTGTTTGCCACTGGAGTTGGCCATATGTTATATTTCTAAGTAAATGAAATAGAAGTTTTATATCAAAATAACTATTGCCCTCTAAACTTTATAAATCGATATATTTATTTACATAGTCTTGTCTTTCACAAATACCATTTGAATTGTCTTCAGAAATACTTCATGGCATGAGAAAACCAGTCTATTTTATAGTCTCGGCTCTATTTTTTTTTAAATTCTTCTGCTGATCTTTGCTGATATTTATCTATTTTATTCAACATCCTTGGCACTAAATGTCATGGAGCTATTTCTAAAAAAAATCAAATGTACTCTCAAAGCAGGTGAAGTATGATGGGTTGCTAGGAGCGTTCACACATGACAAATGTGAAAACCCACGAATGCGATTCCATAGGATCAGACCAGAACTCTGATCTCTGTGACTGCAAAAGTCTAGGCTCTTTCCACTTTATTACTTACAAGAGGGAAGTTTGCTACCCATGAGGATATTCAAAACAATGCTTCAATGTAATTTCTGAAGATGAGTTTTAGCAATGCTTTCAATAATGATGATTGAATAGGAGCTAGTTATCTTCCCATTTCAATGATGATAGGATGCCTTTGAATGTAGAAGTTCAGTCTCTCATTTAAAAAAATTGTGTAGTCATATAACAACTTACAGTGTTTTTCAAAATGGGGTCCTGAACCCTTTGCACTGGAATCACCTGGAGCTGGCATTGCCCTTTGACGTTGGAAAGAGGGATCTCCAATAGAAGCCCTGGGCCGTATGAGGCACTGCTCTGGCCTTCCTCTGGCTGCACCCCTTCCCGCGAGGCAAGGGATCTCTGAGGCCATGACCCCCATCCCCATCTCCATCCAGATTATGCTGTGGGTGCTCAGGACCCAGGAATTCCCGTAGACTCAAGAAATCAAGACAGGAGTGCCCATTCTCATCACAGTGGTGTGTCCACGCATGTCTGCATGAGATCCCTCACTTGGAAGGAGGGGTTGGGGGATTGAAAAGGGGATGTGGCACATGTGGGTATAAATTCTGGGCCTAGACTTCTAGCTTGTTGCTTGTCGAGGCAGGCAGATAGAATAGATTTCATTTAACAATTTGCCATCTTAAAAATACAATGATTCTATAGAGATATGGCCTATTGCTTCTGTTTGTACTCTTATCCAAGGCTCTGTAAATGTCAGGCCAGGCCTGGACCTGGGGATTTGTCAGAATGCAGATTTTGACAAATTTGCAATGTGAGAAATATCATTTTGCAGATTTGTCAAGATGCAGCTCCTATCCCAGACTTACCACTCAGAAGCTTTGGAGGCACAGCTGAGGAGTCTGCATTTTAACCACCTCCCTGGGTGATTATCTTGTGCCCTGAAGTTTGTGAGCCAGGGCTTCAGAGTCACTCTTCTGTAGAGGAAAAGATCATGTCCCAGAAATCCTTTGACTGACTGCTCCTTTGCAGGCTGGGGCTTCAGCATGGGGACCAATTACCACTTCCATAGCTGGAGAGTGTTTGTCATCGTCTGTGCTCTGCCCTGCACTGTGTCCATGGTGGCCCTGAAGTTCATGCCAGAGAGCCCACGGTTTCTGCTAGAGGTGAGTCAGTGCTTTTCCACCAGGGGAAGAGCGACAAAACAGCCACCGGAATCCAGCCTTGCTTCCTTCTCTCAGTCCCTAGTCCCACATCCTCTGCTGCTTACGCGTTGCAAACTCCCCCAGGTTGGCTGACCTCACTCATCATTAAATCTGGCACCCTGCCTGCTGTGATGGTGGCAGGTCATGGATTCACAGACTGTAAATGCTGGAAGGTTCAAGAGCTTGTGGAGCCCAGAGCAGGAGCTCCTTCCCAAGACTGTGCAGGGGTGGAAGGCAGCTCCTGAGCTGCCTCACGGCACCCACTGTCCCCCGAGGTCCTGATTAGGAAGTTTTTTAGCATGGGCTACATTGGGCGACCTCATCTCTACAAAAATAAAAAAAAATAGCCGAGCGATTTGGTGCATGCCTGCCTGTGGTCCCAGCTACTTGGAGGCTGAGGTGGGAGGACTGCTTGGGCCCCAGAGATCAAGCCTGCAGAGAGCCATGGTTGTGTCACTGCACTCTACTCTGGGTAACAAAGAGAGACCCTGTCTCAGTAAGTAAATAAAGGAAGGAAGGAAGGAAGGAAGGAAGGAAGGAAGGAAGGAAGGAAGGAAACAAGCTCTTTAGAGCTGCTGTTTTTCTGTGTTTGGCAGTGAGAGCTATGGTACAGCTTCTTGCTGCTCCCAAGCCTTTCGGGTCTCTTAGCTACACAGGGTCCCCACAGCTGCATCTGTGTCCTGAGAGATGAGTCCCATGAGCCTTCCAACAGCGGGGGAGCCTCCTGCTTGCAGAAGTCAGATAGTACTGGAGCAGGCAGAGGAGCAACAGGACCTTGAGGCTCTTCCAGCCCCAATCTGCAGAGTCTACTTATCTGCCTCCTTCCTAAGCCTTCTGCAGAGTGATCCTCCATGTTGAATGTCCCTGTTCACCCCTTTGATCAGGAGGCAGATGCAACAGGGAGTTTTGCACCCTTGGTCGGATAGGAGTGTCCTAGGGCTGCTGTAGCAAAATGCCACAAACTGAGTGACTTTAAAAGACAGATTTGTCTCACAGTTTCAGAGGCTTGAAGTCCCAAATCAAAGCAGCAGCAAGGTCTCTCCCTCAGAAAACTGTAGGGGAGACTCCTTCCTTGCCTCTTCCAGATTCTGGTGGTTTGCGGCAATTTTGACCGTTCCCTGGCTTGCAGCTGCATCACTCCAGTCGTGGCCTTCATCATCACATGGCATCCTCCCTGCATGCCTCTGTGTCTCCATATGGATGTCTTCCTATAAGGGCAGCTGTTCTGTTGAATCAGGGCTCCACCTACTCCAGAATGTCCTCATCTTAATATAGCTAATTGCACTTGCCACAACCCTATTTCCAAATAAAGTCACTCTCTGTGGTACTGGGGATTAGGACTTCACCATATCTTTTTTGGGGGGACACAGTTCAACCTGTAACACATTGTTTCTTTGCCTTATCTCATCAGTGAGGAACCTAATAACTGCGATTAGTTACTTAGAGTGTATAATGATAATACTACCTAGCATTTACACCTTGAAAGCACGACCTTATTATCCTTGTAAGATTGGCTGGGGATGGAAGCTTGTCCTGGTCTTTCACAGGTCCTAGATGGTAATGAGTCCACATGCAATTGCCTCAGACCTGGTAGGAATGCGCGTATCAACATTCCCATTGAGTTCGTCGGATTTTCCACCCCTAATGAACAGAAGGCATAGTCAGCAATGAATTTTTCCTGTGTCTTTCCTTGGTTTCACCAGATGGGAAAACATGACGAAGCCTGGATGATTCTCAAGCAAGTCCATGACACCAACATGAGAGCTAAGGGGACCCCAGAGAAAGTGTTCACGGTGAGTGTGGGGTTGCCTGCCAATAAGAAGGGGGTTCTCCTCTTCACTGCTTTGGTTTGCTAAAAAGTAATTTAAGCACATAACAGAAAATTTGTCAAAAGGAGAATAAAGACTCTGATATTGCTGTTACTTTATAATCATTATTCTTCGCATTTTGATAGATATCCTTCGAGGTTTTTCCTTAGGTTGCTAGTTGTTTTTAAAAATGGTGCCAGGCGCGGTGGCTCATGCCTGTAATCCCAGCACTTTGGAAGGCTGTATTAGTCCATTTTCATGCTGCTGATAAAGACATACCTGAGACTGGGAGGAAAAAGAGGTTTAATTGGACTTACAGTTCCACGTGGCTGGGGAGGCCTCAGAATCATGGCAGGTGGCAAAAGGCACTTCTTACATGGTGGCAGCAAGAGAAAATGAGGAATTTGCAAAAGCAGAAACCTCTGATAAACCTATCAGATCTCATGAGACTTATTCACTACCATGAGAACAGTATGGGGGAGACTGCCCCCGTGATTAAAATTATCTCCCATCGTGTCCCTCCCACAACATGTGGGAATTATGGGAGTACAATTCAAGATGAGATTTGTGTGGGAACACAGAGCCAAACCACATCAGAGGCTAAGGCTGGCAGATCACTTGAAGTCAGGCATTCAAGACCAGCCTGGCCAACATGGCAAAACCCCGTCTCTACTAAAAATACAAAAAAATTAGCTGGGTGTGGTGGAATGTGCCTATAATCCCAGCTACTCAGGAGGCTGAGGCATGAGAATTGCTTAAACCCAGGATGTAGAGGTTGCAGTGAGCTGAGATAGTGCCTCTGCACTCCAGCCTAGACAACAGAGCAAGACTGTGTCTGAAAAAAAAATGGTAACAGAAATAAACAGATTTCTCTGGGGATCAGCATATGTATGTATATTTATGTGTACATATTATTTAACACTGTAGCACTCATTATCATTTTACATGTTGTCTCCTAGTATTCATAATCATCATTTTAATAAACAGTAGTGTTATGAACATTAACACAGTTTTCCTAACATGTCTCTAATGTTAGAAGCTTATTTATCCAGTTGTACTACCTTGTTCCTATAAATATTAGTGCAATGAACCTTCTTGTGCACATAGTTCCTTCCCCTTCATGTTCTAGGAGTGTTTTATTTCCAGGAGTAGACTCCTAGAAATGAAAGTGCTGGCTCAGAGAGCTTGGATATTTTTATAGCTCTTGAGATATATTGCCAAATCATAATACATTTCAACTGGGTTGTACCAATCTACAATGCCACAGACAATAGGGGACCCATTTCCTTACACCCTTACCATCATTGGCTATTGGTCTGAATTTTGTTTCTCGCCAGTTTTAAAAGCAAACAAAGCAAAACAAAAATAAACAAAACAGAATGGTAAATGGTAATTTCCATGATGATGGCCTGATAGTTACAGAGATGCCGTCTTCCTGCCTGCCATGCTCTGACAAACCAGGAGGCTACAGGCATCTTTGTGCACCTGTTTCTATAACTTCCCCCACTTCAAATCCATTTTCTCAAGGAAACCTTCCTGGAGTAACTCCTACCTAATTTCGATTCACTGCTTTTGATTTTTTAGCTTCCATAATTTCAGTTTCGAGTAAACCATTTGCCCTTGTTAACCTGTTACTTAAAACCTCTGCTTTTCAGGCAGGATCACGCGGTGGCTAAGCATCTGCACCCAAAGTATCAAATCCCAGTTTTGACACTTTCTAGCTGTGTGGCCTCAGGCAAGGTACTCTCCGTGCCTCATTTTTCTCATGGAGAAAAGAGGGATAATCATATCTATAAATGTGGCTATTGTAAGGATTAAATAAAATACCAACAACAACAACAACAACAACAAAAACCAGTGCCTGGCTTGGAGTAAGTGCTAGACAGATGTTAATCATTATTTAAATTATGACATTTTTTCATAAATTAACTCAAGTTATAAATTTTATGGAAAATTCATCAGTGGGATATTTTCTCTATTCTACCGCTTCTAAAATATCTGAAATATGGGACCCATGTTTTTCCTTTTTTTTTTTTTATAACTTCTATTTTAGGTTCAGGGGTACATGTGCAGGTTTGTTATAGAGGTGAACTTGTGTCACAGGAATTTGTTGTACAGATTATTTTGTCACCCAGGTATTAAGCCCAGCACCCAATAGTTATCTTTTCCGCCCCTCTCCCTCCTCCCACCCTCCACCACCAAGTAGACCCCTCAGTGTTGGTTGTCCCCTTCTTTGTGTTCATAAGTTCTCATCATTTAACTCCCACTTATAAGTGAGAACATGTACTGCAAACATTTATTAAGAAGCATAATGAACAGAAATGCTCCAAATGGAAGATGTTAAGGGTCACAGTGATTCTCCCGATCTTCCATCCCCGCCGACTCTGTGATGGCCTGTAGTGCTCCCGCTGTGCTGCAGGTGTGGAAGCCACACATTGGTGAGGCTTCTGGGTGTGCTTGGCTCAGTCCTGCCACTCTGCCCCTGCTGCCTGGTTCCATGGCCAGAGGAAGTCCAAGTTTCTCTCCGAGCTCCTGCTTATTTCTGGAAGATGTTTCCATGGTCTTCTGTCTCTGCCTCCAGTCTCTGACTCCACATTGGCTGGATTGGTTTTTGCCCTACATCAACCTGGCCTGAAACACAGGCACACACAAGCACATACACAAAGACATGGAGACACACACAGACATAGGCACCCATACAGAGACACACAGACACAGGAACACGCGGACACACAGAGACACACACAGACACACATGAAGACAGACACAGAGACACACAGACACAGACACATTAAGACAGACAGACACTGACACACAGACACGGGAACACAAACACAGAAACACACAGACACAGACACACATTAAGACACACAGTCACAGACACAGGAACACACGGACACACAGGGACACACAAGAAGACAAACACAGAGACACACGGACACAGACACATTAAGACAGACAGACACAGACACACAGACACAGGAACACAAACACAGAAACACACAGACACAGACACACATTAAGACACACAGACACAGACACAGGAACACACGGACACACAGGGACACACACACAAACACACATTAAAACAGACATGCAGATGCAGAGACACACAGACACACATTAAGACACACACACAGACACACAGACACAGGAACACAAACACAGAAACACACACACACATTAAGATACACACACAGACACACAGACACACATTAAGACAGACACACAGACACAGACATCACTCATACCAAGCGTTTGGGGTTGAATGGGCTTCCTGAACATTTGTGAACAGAGGAATTACATCGCAGAGTGCAGCCTTCTCCTTCCTTTCTCCCTGCCCCTCCTCCCTTTCAGTGTCTCCACCTCTTTTCCTCTGCCTTCTCTCTATTCTTCTCCCTTTGGAATAAAACAGTTTCTCCTTGCTTATGCATAGTAGGTTACTAGTGTTTTAAATCTGAGAGTGTCTTTCTGGGATTTCCCCATGCCTCCAGTAGTTATTAACAGATTTATTTCAAACGCACAGACTGTCCCAGGAGGAGTCCACCCCACCCTGTTCTGCCTGTCTGCCTTTGCCTGCCCACGCAGACTATCAGCTCCTCCCCACTCGCATCTTGCCCTAGGGCGTCTTGTACAGAAGGTTCCACGCAGTGGTGCTCAGCCAGGCATTTCCTAACTGTTGCTTCTGGCAGGACCCCTTCTACACCAACCAAACGGGCTTGCCCCACTGGGAGCCCCTTTTTTGGAGAAGTGATCCCACATTCTCTCCTGACAATGCATTCTACTGTGTTAAAGAGAAACTTTGGCACATTAACATTTTAGAGAGTTTATTTACGGAGACAGTGATTCATCAGTCGGGTAGCTCACACTGGAAGTGGGTCAGGGCTTTACCGAAGGAGCAGAGGGAGAGGCTTTTATAAGTCGAACATGGAGGCAGAGAAAAGTATTTGCTGGGCTAGAGTTTGAGTGATTGCCTCATTTGGATTATTTCAGTGGGAAGTTCAAGATAATACAGCCAGTGCCCACTCAGCCAACTGGGATTGGCTGAGCTTGTTTCATTTTCTTTAAAATTCTGAGTTAGGTTTCTGCTTGATAATGTGGCAACCCAGGGCATTAGAGCCACCTCCGTTGAGTGGCCTCCCATTTAGTTATTTTAACAAATGCAGCCGCCGAATGCTGAAGAATGAGATCTTAGCTAGGAAATCAATAAAAATGCCAATTTTCAGACACAAAAGCCTTTTACAACAGGATCAGAGTTCCTCATTTTCGGGATGGGAGTGCACCTGGAGGAAGGAAGTTCAGGCAGAAATCAATGTGTGGAGAGTTATGAAGTTTTGGAGTTGATCTTATCCCAGCATGCATGCCAGTTACTAGGTTCTGAGGCATAACTTCTGCTTTTAGTTTTAACCCAACAGGAAGAGGGACTTAAAAAATGTTATGGGCTCAGTATTTTTTACTGACCTGTTGACTATATTAATGATGTAGAAGTAAATGACTGGATGGGCCAGAAAAAGAAATGAAAAAAGAGAGATAACCAGAAAGTGGTAACTGACCTCAGAGAGCTGACCTGTGGTTGGCGATAAGGGGCGGTTCCTCAGCCCAGCTTGATGGCCTTGCCTGTCTTACTCCTGTGTGTGCCCCATCAGCAGACATGCTCACAGATGTATTCAGTGGCCTGGAGGGAGAGCTTAGGGCAGTCAGACTCTTAGTTGGTGCCTGTGCTGTGAGCTCTAGATTTTACCAGCCCTGTTGGCTGCGTCACAAACTCGCAGTGAAACCTTTGGAAGGAGAAGGAGTTGAAGCATTCGGTTGAGAACTCACGATCTGCAGGTCTGGGGTAACACAGGCCATATTCTAATTTAGACTGAATCATAGACAATTGTTCTAATGAATCGTAAATTAGAGTGAGTAACTGTGCTTGAAGTTGTCAACACACCCACTCCCTAATCCCAAAGGAAGACAGTGATATTTTCCCCAAGGAGCAAAGAAAGGAAAAATCGACATTTGAGAGGATAACTTAAGGCTTTGGGGTGTGGTTTTTGAGGTGCTTCCTGAGTTGGTGTTAACTTCCCCTTTAGCCTCCTTTGGCTGTCGCTGGGGTTCATAACATCCATGAAGGTATTGATTAGCTTGAAACCCAGCTCCAGCTGAGAGTTCTGTTGCAGAGTCTGCTGTTAGTTCTGACGCTTCCGTGTCTGACCTCAGGCGGAAGATCATTTGCAAAGGCTGCATAGCTGGGAGTGGCAAGATGAGTCCAGGAGGCTCACAGTGTGGTCATGTCCTTGACATTTCTGGGAAGAGAGCCTATGCCTTTAGCAGATTCTCAAATGGGCGTCTAGCCCTCCCAAAAGCTTAAGAACCACTGTTTTGGCTGGGTGCAGTGGCTCACGTCAGTAATCCCAGCACTGTGGGAGGCCGAGGCAGGCAGATCACGAGGCCAAGAGATCGAGACCATCCTGGCCAACATGGTGAAGCCCTGTCTCTACTAAAAAATACAAAAAAGGTACCTGGGTGTGGTGGTGCGCGCCTGTAGTCCCGGCTACTCGGGAGGCTGAGGCAGGAGAATTGTTTGAACCCAGGAGGTGGAGGTTGCAGTGAGCTGAGATGGTGCCACTGCACTCCAGCCTGGTGACAGAGTGAGACTCTGTCTCAAAAAACAAAACAAAACAAAACAAAACACTGTTTTTTTGGTTTAAAAAAGAATAGCCAAGCTGTCTTAGACCTAGTGCTCTGGAAATGATGAATCGGTTGTCCACTTTCCAGGGGCTGCTTTCTCCCCACGGATTGTCCAGTCCCATCTGTATTTTTCTTCTGTTATCTCCTCATATCCTCAGTCCTTCGGCTGAAGAAAGACATGGAGACACTCTATGACTTGTCTTTATCCCTAGATGAAAAGTTTATTGGAGGAGGTGATGGAAACTGTTTTTGATTTTTTTTCGCGTGCGCTCTTTGAGAAATCAAAGACTCCTCTATCCTAAATCAGTTGAAATAGTTACATTAAACTACATATTGAAAACTCTGACACAAAGTGGGGTTCAGATTCTCTATATCCTATTTTTACTTTTCAGGTTTCCAACATCAAAACTCCCAAGCAAATGGATGAATTCATTGAGATCCAAAGTTCAACAGGAACCTGGTACCAGCGCTGGCTGGTCAGATTCAAGACCATTTTCAAGCAGGTGTGACTGGGAACTTACTTTGGGTGAGAAGGTGGCTCTATGGGAGTCTCTAACCTTAGTGGATGAAAAATGCAGATCCTGAACATCCCCACCAACCTGGGGCAGCGTGTTGGAGAGGAATCAACCCTGGAAGGGGGCGTTCGGGCTCCAGCCCATGTCTGCCTCTAGCTTGCTGTGTGCTCTGGAGCTGAAAACTCTCTAAATCTTAGTTTCTTTTCTTTGTTCTTCCTTCCCAAGGCAGGGATTTTGAATGTAGGTAAAATGTCTAGTCTGAGTAAACATCTTCTCTCTAGCAAATTTTAAAATAATCCACAGGGAGGAAGAAGTGAGTGAAATAAACGATCCCTTGAGGCTTGTTCTTGATTTCCAAGAAATGTTTTTCTAAATGGGCAATGCCATTTCTCTGGAGCACTGGCTCCTCCAAGTAGGGATTCGGTCAGCTATTGAGCACTGAGGCAGCCAGCCAGCCAGAGTCTGTTGGGACTGAATGGTCTTCGCAGTGTATGGTCAATAAATGTTTGCAATATCCCCCTTGCCCACAGGCAGGGCGTAGAACTCAGTAGTCCAGGTTACTCCGTGCCTTGAAGTCCTAACTCAGTGTGCTTTCAATCACATTCACGGAATATTGTGTTCCCGGGGAAAATCCTATTGGACTGTTAGAGTATGAGGCCAGCCAGTAAGAAGAGAAGAAGCTTTCCTTGTTATTTGGAGAGATTTGCTGCCTTTAGGAGACAGTGGGGTGCCCATTCTCTTCATGGGTTCCTAGGCAATTTATTAGAAAATCTGACTATTGAGCTCTTTGATTGTGGGAGAAACAAAGTCACACATTGCTTTCTTTAACAATCCTTCTCTGATATGGGTTGTAGGTCTGGGATAATGCCTTGTACTGTGTGATGGGGCCCTACAGAATGAATACACTGATTCTGGCCGTGGTTTGGTTTGCCATGGCATTAAGGTAAGTTCTGTCTTACTTAAATTTCGTAATTCCATGTGTCTCAGTGGCCTCCTTTACACATTTGGGACTACAGGCATGCACCACCACACCTGGATAATTTTTGTATTTTTAGTAGAGATGCGGTTTTGCCATGTTGGCCAGGATGGTCTCGAACTCCTGACCTCAAGTGAACTGCCTTCCTCACCATCCTAAAGTGCTGGGATTACAGGCATGAGCCACCGCATCAGCCAGTGGGGATGTCTTTAGCGTTTCCCTATTCACTAAGATTCTGTCTGAGACATGTATATTTGATGTGTTAAGGAGGTGTCCACCAATCCCTAATCTATTGGTGTTTTTATCAGGAAAAAATTTCTTTTAAATCAAATGCCTTTTCAGCATTTATGGAGGTGGTCATATTTTTTCCTCTTGTATCTATTAATATGAGGATTTATATTATCGGTTTTTCTAATAATGAACCAAATTAATGTATTTTCAATGAGTTTGATCTACATCAAGTCAAGAATGTAGACCCTGATCATGAAAGAATTAATCTTGTTGTTGCTCCAACCTTCTCCCTTCTCCACTCCAGTTACTATGGACTGACAGTTTGGTTTCCTGATATGATCCGGTATTTTCAAGATGAAGAATACAAGTCTAAAATGAAGGTATTTTTTGGTGAGCATGTGTACGGCGCCACAATCAACTTCACGATGGAAAATCAGATCCACCAACATGGGAAACTTGTGAATGATAAGTAAGTGAGTGAGCACAGGCTTCCCTCACATCAGGGTGACAGTTGTGGGGACTGTTTTTGGGAGGGAGCCAGAGGGAAGATAAGAATGAAATATGGCCGGGAATGAGCGCCAAGGCTGGTGTCAGCATCACAACTTGTCATGGCTGCCAGAGACTCCATAGCTCCCCTGGTGGCTGTGTCTGTATTGTGCTGGCTCCTCGATACCCTGATCTCCTGGCGAGAGCTGTTTCATGCAAGGATGGAGACATTTGACCTAGGACGGTCAGTTGGACCATTTTTCCAAGAACTTGAACCTTTAATGGAAATTAGCAGAAAGTGATGTCTCATTAAGAGTGGCTGCCCAGAGAAAGGGCCTAGGGCTCTTACTGCTAAGATTCCTGAACTAGTCCAAAGCCCGGGTGTTGAGCTTTTAATTTGACCTTAGAAGCTTTTCCATGCCAGGACTAATAGAGCCCTGTTGTAATTCTTTCACCTAATATTACTTTGGAGGGTTGATCAGTATGGTCCATGGTCAGCCAGGAGTGTTTTTTAGAGGAAAAAAATATCAGTGGAGGATTAGAAAATGCCTGTTCACATCTTTGTGGGGCTACTTCCTCAATTCATGTTACTTCTCCTCCTCCTGGTCCTGGGACAAATGAGATGGGCCATCCACGCTGTTGTGCTTTAGGAATGCCTCTTTGAAACTTACCTCTGCAACCCTCAAGATGGATCAGGGCAGGACCTTAACCATGCTTCCCCAAGGCCACATTATTCATTAAACTGAGCATTTACCCCTCTGCTGTTTCCCTTCTTGAACTGTACTTAGCAAGCTCATCAGGTTGTGAATGGTAAGTAGGTGGGTGGCCATGGGCTATGCAGTGGCACCTGAAATACCATGGCACAGATAGTTCAATGTCAGTCACATTAACTGCCCCATATTTACCACTTCAATACAAAATTAATTAACGCCACGAATTCTCACCTCTGGTGAATGTTCTGTCTCCCCCTGTCTGCACCCACATATGCATCTGGTGTCTCAGTAAAGTCTCTACCTGTAGTGACTCCTGACCACTTTAGGAAAGGAATGGCTGGGTGAAGCCCAGGAAGGATACCTCTTTAAGTTTATTCTGTATTGTTCTCACAGGCTAGACTGTAGCAAAGGCTCCCTGTTATTTAAGGTGAGAAAGTGTGCAATAAAAAGGAGAATGTTATTTCTACCAATATCAGACCTTTGGGAAGGAAGTTTTAGGACCAAGTATCATTGACGTGGGTTCAGATTTTCAGATTTTTTTAAAATGCTGAAGCCCAGTACAGACATCTCCATACTCATATACCCATGCGTCCATACGTCCCCTGCAGAGACAGTTCAGAGTCATTATCCTCTGCCCAGAGTGACCACTTCAGGGATGGCGGCTCCAATGCTCGTGGTGGTGGAAGGCAGTTCCCCCAAGATGTTTCATTGTCTGAGCTCTTTAGTATGTCAGGAAGTCTTGTGTTGACATTGCCAAGGAAGAAATGTCACCCTTGCTTTATTAGGATACTTTGGAAATATTGAAAACCAAGGAACACTATGGATGACTAGATGTCACCCATGGGGTCACACCATTCCCTGCAGAGATGAATTCCCTAAAGGATACCTCATTTCTGAAGTTCCCAGTGTTTAATGATACATTATTTTGATACAAATAATACTAATGGTAGCAGTGACAATGATAATAATGCCATTGATAGGCACTATAGCAGCCAGCATTAATGAGCATTGCTGTGTACCAGGTGCTGCCTTAAGTGCTTTATGTAGATTATCTCACAAAACTCCAGGGAACAAGAAATATGCTTTCTCTTTTGCAAGTGGGGAACAGAAGCTTAGAGAGGTTAAGTATTTTGCTCAAAATCACACAGCTGATATTCACAGAAATATCTATCTCCCGACCCACATATTGGGACTCCAGATCTTGTACTCTTGACAACTACAAATATTTTCTCATTAGGAAACTCTTCATTCCTACAGAGGCGCAGTTTTACATGATACTTTCTGCATTAAAGTCAACACAACGCGGAGTCCTTGTGATTTGTAACAAGCAAGTTTTGCAGTTCTGACACTTAGCTAGACAGAAAGTGGAGACTTTTGATCCACTCTGTCCTTTTAAGTTTGCTCAGCTTCTCCAGGCTTTCAGCAAACTGCTGAGTGGGAGTGAGGAAGAAACAGGGGCTGAAGAAAGCAGTGTTGAATCCTGTGGATGACGGGTGGA